GTCCCATTTCTGGAACATCCTGTCTCTGCCCACCTTGTCAATTCCTCCTGTGTCCATCCTCCAGCTTCCATCCCTCCGATACAGGAAACGCGTGTAATTTGACTTACTGATTGACTGATGACCGACTGACGCAGCTTGGGTAGTTGGTAAACAACTAGCGAGAGGAAGAGATTAGAAAGCCTACATCAAAGAATATTTGCAATAAGATATACACAACTCTTGTTGTATAAACACAGATGATTCTCGGTATAAATATGCACAGATATACCTCTCGGTACATATATACATATTCATCGAAGTAAGTACACAAACGCACCTCTGAGTGAACATACCCTGATGCTATGAGAGTTGGTTGGTCAATGGAGGTTTAAACCCAATCGACTACACTAGAGTCATTAAGGCTGCACGTAACCCTGTCACCACCAGACAAGAATACTTAATCTCTAAAACACAGGCATTAAAGTTAAACTCTCACCACATATACACACGCTGAGAGAAATACACCTCTCTATGTATATATTCTGTGTGAGAGCCTAAAGGCTTATACTGTATGAGAGATTTTTAATCTAATATAACAAATAGGTTTTTATCCCCCTGAACATTTTCGATAGGTGGACATTGACTGATATTTGCCTAACCATTTGGCAGTAATACTCCATTTTTTGTGAGGTCTGTAAATAATATATTAAATGTAGCATTGTGAAAAATGTATTACCAAAGCTCCTGAGGGCGTAAAGAAAGACCGGGGTTGTCAAAAAAAAAAAAAATTCTTTCCCGTATTTAGACAGAAAACGAGGAACTGGGTGGTAAAAGTAAGACTTTAATTCTGATAAACCTTTGTTTACAATTGAGAATTTAGCTGTAGTTGTACAGTCTTTATATGGCAACATAAAATATTTATCATTTACGATACGGTGGTAACCTGCGTTTGCATAAGACGTACGATGGTTGTTGCAACAAAGACAGCAGGTTACTGGTCAAGCCTGGCTGTCAACTTTGCCTGGTGTAATGTATTCTGTATATTGTTGATATGTTTGGTCTACACAGCAGGCTTCTTCAGTCAAATATAGAGGCAGCAGTAGTAATGAAATAATGATGTAATCAGTCTATCAGCCTTGGAGAAAAAGTGTTTGAGGTGGTCAGTCCCTCAGCCTGAAGAAGAGTTCAGGAGTTGAGCTCCATGGAGCTGAGTTCTTCTCCAGGCTGAGGGACTGACCTCCTCAAATACTTTTTTTCAAGGTTGATGGACTGATTATATCATCTTCATTTCATTACTACTGCTGCCTCTTTATTTGACTAAAGAAGCCTACCGTGTAGGCCAAACGTTTCATCAATAATGATACCCAACTGTTCTGTGTTTGCTGGTGTCTGTGTTAATTATTGTAAGTGGCTGTGTATTTGCTCCACTCATGACAGTCTTTGTGTGTTGCTCCGCTCAAGTCACAAGATAAGAGATGTTATCGTAACTGACATCACTCCAGAGCCCAGTGTTGATCTTCCGGGGATGTCACCCCAGGTGTGAGTCCCATACACTTACACACACGCACATACACACACACACACACACACACACACACACACACACACACACACACACACACACACACACACACACACACACACACACACACACACACACACAGGGAGAGTGACATAGTAGCGACCAGTGAAGAGGCGGGGCCAGGAGCTAGGACTCGACCCCTGCAGCCTCAACTAGGTGAGTACACACACACACACACACACACACACACAGTGTGTGTGCAAAGGTAGAAAGTTGAAAGTGAACATAGAAAAGAGTAAGGTGATGAGAGTATCAAATGATTTAGATAAAGAAAAATTGGATATCAAATTGGGGAGGAGGAGTATGGAAGAAGTGAATGTTTTCAGATACTTGGGAGTTGACGTGTCAGCGATGGATTTGTGAAGGATGAGGTTAATCATAGAATTAATGAAGGAAAAAAGGTGAGTGGTGCGTTGAAGTATATGTGGAGCCAACAAATGTTATCTATGGAGGCAAAGAAGGGAATGTATGAAAGTATAGTAGTACCAACACTCTTATATGGGTGTGAAGCTTGGGTTGTAAATGTTGCAGCGAGGAGGCGGTTGGAGGCAGTGGAGATGTCCTGTCTAAGGGCAATGTGTGGTGTAAATATTGTGCAGAAAATTCAGAGATTGGAAATTAGAAGGTGTGGAGTTAATAAAAGTATTAGTCAGAGGGCTGAAGAGGGTTTGTTGAGGTGGTTTGTTCATTTAGAGAGAATGGATCAAAGTAGAATGACATGGAGAGCGTATAAATCTGTAGGGGAAGGAAGGCGGGGTAGGGGTCGTCCTCGAAAAGGTTGGAGGGAGGGGGTAAAGGAGGTTTTGTGGGCGAGGGGGTTGGACTTCAAGCAGGCGTGCGTGAGCGTGTTAGATAGGAGTGAATGGAAACGAATGGTATGTGGGACCTGACGAGCTGTTGGAGTGTGAGCAGGGTAATATTTAGTGAAGGGATTCAAGGAAACCGGTTATTTTTATATAGTCGGACTTGAGTCCTGGAAATGGGAAGTACAATGCCTGCACTTTAAAGGAGGGGTTTGGGATATTGGCAGTTTGGAGGGATATGTTGTGTATCTTTATACGTATATGCTTCTAAACTGTTGTATTCTGAGCACCTCTGCAAAAACAGTGATAATGTGTGAGTGTGGTGAACGTGTTGAATGATGATGAAAGTATTTTCTTTTTGGAGATTTTCTTTCTTTTTGGGTCACCCTGCCTCGGTGGGAGACGGCCGACATGTTAATATATATTATATATATTATATATATATATATATATATATATAATATATATATATATATATATATATATATATATATATATATATATATATATATATATATAATATATATATATAATATATATATATATATATATTATATATATATATATATATATATATATATATATATATATATATATATATATATAATATATTATATATAATATAATGTATGTATATGTATAATATGTATATATAAGTATATATAATATTAGCCGAATTCAGTAGATTGACCTTTTAAAACTCTATCACTTGTTAACTGGTGGAGTGATGGTCCAATCAGCGAGGCGTTACCATGGCAACCTCCCGCTGCCTGCAGCCTCTTCTACCTCCTCCCGCTGCCTGCAATCTCCTCCTCCACCTCCTCCTTCTCCTTCTCCTCCTCCTCCTCCTCCTCCCGCTGCCTGCAGCCTCCTGCTGCCTGCAGTCTCCTCTACCTCCTGCTGCCTGCAGCCTCCTGCTGCCTGCAGCCTCCTCCACCTCCTGCTGCCTGCATCTTCCTGCTGCCTGCAGTCTCCTCTACCTCCGGCTGCCTGCAGTCTCCACCTCCTGCTGCCTACAGTTTCCTCTACCTCCTGCTGCCTGCAGCCTCCTGCTGCCTGCAGTCTCCTCCACTTCCTGCTGCCTGCAGCCTCCTGCTGCCTGCACTCTCCTCCACCTCCTGCTGCCTGCAGCCTCCTCTACCTCCTGCTGCCTGCAGCCTCCTCTACTTCTTGCTGCTTGCAGTCTCCTCCACCTCCTGCTGCCTGCAGTTTTTTCTACCTCCTGCTGCCTGCACTCTCCTCCACCTCCTGCTGCCTGCAGCCTCCTCTACCTCCTGCTACCTGCAGCCTCCTCTACCTCCTGCTGCCTGCAGTCTCCTCCACCTGCTGCTGCCTTCAGCCTCCTGCTGCCTGCAATCTCCTCTACCTCCTGCTGCTTGCAGCCTCCTCTACCTCCTGCTGCCTGCAGTCTCCTCTACCTCCTGCTGCCTGCAGTCTCCTCCACATCCTGCTGCCTGCAGCCTCCTGTTGCCTGCACTCTCCTCCACCTCCTGCTGCCTGCAGTCTCCTCTACCTCCTGCTGCCTGCAGTCTCCTCCACCTCATGCTGCCTGCAGCCTTCTCTACCTCCTGCTGCCTGCACTCTCCTCCACCTCCCGCTACCTGCAGCCTTCTCTACCTCCTGCTGCCTGCACTCTCCTCCACCTCCCGCTGCCTGCAGCCTTCTCTACCTCCTACTGCCTGCACTCTCCTCCACCTCCCGCTGCCTGCAGCCTTCTCTACCTCCTGCTGCCTGCACTCTCCTCCACCTCCCGCTGCCTGCAGCCTTCTCTACCTCCTGCTGCCTGCAGTCTCCTCCACCTCCCGCTGCCTGCAGCCTTCTCTACCTCCTGCTGCCTGCACTCTCCTCCACCTCCCGCTGCCTGCAGATAAGCTTCCCGGGTATATATAACAGGCAAGTTGATAAATTAGACACAACACCTATGTGTATCTTTATTCTGTATTCATATCAAGATTGATAGACCTGATAACATCGACTCGGACTGAGGGACTGATTACCTCAAACTCCTTCTGATCTCCACCATTCTTCTTTGCATTGGACTGATGAAGCCACTGTGTGGCGGAAGGTTTCCGCAGGAAGGATACCCAGGCTGCTGTACACGTGTCTGATTTATCCAGTTTATCTAATTTAATTCATTTCAAGCGTTAAACCCGTGTGGGTCATTCAGCGCAAGACGTGGTGGAGGTTTGATCCTCCGTCTGCCCAGTATTTGGGAAAACAATGGATTATATGTGCTGGCGAGAGTGTAGGTTGTCAGTCATGTTGAACTATAGGTAGACGTCTGTAACTACAAGCAGGTGCTTGTAACTATTATGGCACACATGTAATTCACTCCGCCTTGTACCCATGGTTGCAACTGCCCTAACCTTTCTTGTGTACCCATGGTTGCAACTGCCCTAACCTCTCTTGTGTACCCATGGTTGCAACTGCCCTAACCTCTCTTGTGTACCCATGGTTGCAACTGCCCTAACCTCTCTTGTGTACCCATGGTTGCAACTGCCCTAACCTCTCTTGTGTACCCATGGTTGCAATTGCCCTAACCTCTCTTGTGTACCCATGGTTACAATTGCCCTAACCTCTCTTGTGTACCCATGGTTGCAACCGCCCTAACCTCTCTTGTGTACCCATGGTTGCAGCTGAGGATCGACCGCAACACCCTGGACGAGTTCCTCAAGATTGAGAGAGAGATTGCTCAGGTTGAGAGCAACAACCCCATGCAACCCCTGGAGCTGAAGACTGACCAGCTGGTCAGACTAAACCAGGAGATAGATCAGCTGGAGGAGCACATCAGAGACCTGGAGAAGGAGAGGTAAGCAATACTCTTACTCGTCCTTCTTTGCCTCCCTTACTCCTTTCACTTTTCCTCTTCCTCCTACTCCTTTTTCTCCTACTGCTTCTTTTCCTCCTACTCCTTTTCCTCCTCCTACTCCTCCTTCTCTTCCTCCTCATCATCTTCCTATGGAAAGATATGGATAGGTAGATAAGGAACTGGATAGCAGCTTACTTTCTGGTAAGACGTAGAATTATGGGGAATGATGTGATTGAGGTGTATAAATGGAAAACAGGATTAAGTAAACGGGATGTAAATAAGCAAGACAGAAGTCGCAGCATTTGCTTCAAGTTGGACAAATTTAGATTTAGAAAGAAAACAGCTTGGCAGTAGAGTTGTAGATGAGTGGAGCAAACTCCCAGGTAGCATCACTGAAGGACGGGGGATGAGAACTTTGTTTATCTTTGAATTATAGATTGGTTGAGTAGATGAATGGGTTCGGCTGGGCGTGAGTTGAACCTGCCTAGCAGGGGCCAGTAGGTTTACTGCAGTGTTCTGCTGTTATGTCCTTGTGTAAGTGGTACAGAAGAGGGTACATAAAGCCTAGTACCTTCTCAGCGTAGTAGCAGTCTGTGGTGCTACCAGCAGGTGATGACTGCTAGCTCTTCCCTGACTGAAGCCTCTGAAAGGGACTAGTTAATTTATTATAGCCATTAAGAGAACTTCCTTAATGACAATTCCTTAGAAAGCCTTATTGACCTCAAGCTACGAAATTCATTCTTTTCCCTTATTCTCTTTCCTCTTCTTTTTCCTCTTTTTCTTCTTCTTCTTCTTCTTCGTCTTCTTCTTCTTCTTCTTCTTCTTCGTCTTCTTCTTCTTCTTCTTCTTCTTCTTCTTCTTCTTCTTCTTCTTCTTCTTCTTCTTCTTCTTCTTCTTCTTCTTCTTCTTCTTCCTCGTCATCGTTATTAACACCCACTTCTGAATTTAATAGGTCTAATGTTTACATCACGTTTCACTGTTTTTTACATCTTAGTGATGTTGAGCATCACACTGGCCTGGTTATGGCACTTCCATATATTGATATATGTCATGGAGGCAATAAATCAGATATTGGTTAATTAGTTTCAAATCCTGTAGACGACGTAACGATCATTAAGGCTGCAAACCTACTGCACTCTACTCAAACATATTTTACCCCTCAGAACAGAGACTGAACTAAACTCTCAGGGCACATACAATGAAAGATATACGCCTCTTTGTGTATATATATACTGCGATCCACATCTCTTTGTGTATATACACTGAGATATACAACTCTTTGTGTAAGTACACTGAGAAATATGCCTCTTTGTGTATATACACTGAGATATACGCGTGTGTAAATACACGGATATACACGTCTTTCTGTATATACATCTAGATATACACCTCTCAGTGTATACACACAGAGATGCACACTTCTTATATTATCTTCCTTTATAAGCAGAAGGTAAGTATTGTGTATTTCGATCTCACACTGAGGCTATCATCAGTGTTCTCCTGGATCCACTGTACGAGCGTTTATACCTTTCATCTGTGTTTATTTCGCTCTGTTTCTAGTATTAATTCACCTAGCGAATTGGGGTTTATCAGGTGTGATTTGCTGAAGACCATTTATGGGCGAAATGTCGTCTAAAAGACTTGCTCTGTATTAATATGCTCAACACTAATGTTTTGAAAATCGGGACAGTTCCAAGTTCGGGGAGAAAATGGTGGACGCTGTAGAAACCCGGCAGTTCTTCATTGAAAATGGGATACAGGAAGACCCGCTGACGCCAGAACAGGAGAAGTACCTGGATACAGCCAATAAGAAGGTAAGAACGAGAGAGAGAGAGAGAGAGAGAGAGAGAGAGAGAGAGAGAGAGATCACAGTCAGCAGGTTTCGATACTACTACTGGGAGACGGGCAAGGTTCTCAGGTAACGTTTGTGAGGTCAGAACATACAGGAGGAGACTGAAACAGCTTGAATCCATGCTTGAGGCTGACTGACGTGCCCGGGCTGGGAAGAAACATGGCTTGTGAACCAGGCTGCCCAGCCTTTGAGGTATTTGTGGCCGAGTGGATAAAAGTGTTACCTGGGAACTTTGCCCGTCTCCCAGTGGTGATATCTGCGTGGTGCATTGAGTGCATTATAATACTATAATGACAGTAGCGTACGTTAACCACAATAGCTCACCCTCCAACGCCCGAGACGGTTCCTCAGAACTCACACACAGATATGGCTAAATCATACAGCTGACCCGGACCTCTGTAAACTCTTGTGTAGCGCATTTAACTCTAAATATCGAGAATATTCCATTATTCTTCCCCACTAGATCTTTGGTGAACAATATTACAGAGTCTAAGACTGCAAGTAGAGTCAGGCGAGTCACTGACATTCACTGTCGTGAGTTAAGTGTTGAATGGCCCACTATACGTGCGGTTTTAAGAGGTTAACACCATGTTAAGTGTAACTTAAGTTTGTCTTCGAAATCTCTTCAGAAAAATGTGTTTTGGTGGCGTCATGAATTCTTCGAAAGTTGCTTCATCAGTCCGGTACAAAGGAAAGTGGTGAAAATCAGAGAGAATTTGAGATAATCAGTCCCTCAGCCTGGAGTCGATGTAGCCGGTTCATCAAACTTGAAAATACTAATTACATCGACTCCAGGCTGAGGGACTGATTACCTCAAATTCCTTTTGATCTTCACCACCCTCCTTGATATTGGACTGATGAAGCCACTGTGTGCCGAAACGTTTCCTCAACATAGATACGCAAGTATTGTACGTATCTATTTTATCATCTTGTCGGTTCTGAACCATTTATCAATACATCCCTCGAAGCTTTGTCATCTGCACGATGGTAGGAGCCCAGTCAACCTGTTTACCTGTGTTATGGGTAATACATTTAATATAAATCTCTCTTCCAGTTATATACGAAAAAAAATTACCTGATGTGAGTCTAAATAACCCATGCATTACTTAATGAAAATATTTCTCGATACATTGAGAAAAGTGAATATCAATAATGAGACATACATACAAGTATGTGAATAAGGCACAAGATGTAGTTTACAACATTTCACTCTTAAAGGCGTTTCGCACACCAGGGACTTTATTAACTCGTAAATTAAAGTCTTTTGGTGGACGAAACATCTCAATTAAAAGCCACGTGTCTCATGCACACTGAGTAAAGTGACAGCAACAGTTGATGTTAAGAATGTGAGAGTCAGGCGCTGACATCTCACTTCAACTCTGTCAAAGATTCTCTCCGGGACAATAAACGTTGGTAATGAACCAAGTTTTGTTAAGGTCGACGCGACGCTCAGATGGTTCTTAACGAGACTCATTACTCTCCATTGTGTTTTTCATATACAACACCTATGTACCGTCTCTTATTTGTTTCCTCTCTCTTCTTGCCCGTCCCCCTGCCTGTTTACCCGTCCACCCACGTCCACCCACGTCCACCCACGTCCACCCACGTCCACCCACGTTCACCTATTCTTTAATTTAATTATACATTTCTTGGGCGTTCTTTCTTGTTTATATTCCTCCACATTTCCTTACTTCCCTTCTCTCTCTCTCTCTCTCTCTCTCTCTCCTCTCTCTCTCTCTCTCTCTCTCTCTCTCTCTCTCTCTCTCTCTCTCTCTCTCTCTCTCTCTCTCTCTTCCTCTTCCTCTCTTTCTCTCTCTCTCTCTCTCCTCTCTCTCTCTCTAGTCCTCCCTGCTGCTTTCTGACTGTTCTGGTGTTCGGCGCCCGCAGGAGATCGCAGCCCAGGAGCTGGAGGCCCACAAGAAGCAAAGGGATCAGGTGTCCAAGGAGATCGCTGAACTGGAGACTAAAGCTAATCATCTCCATGAACTCTACAAGCGGCATGATAACCTCTTAGGTGAGTTCATGGCCTCTTAGGTGAGTTCATGGCCTCTTAGGTGAGTTCATGGCCTCTTAGGTGAGTTCATGGCCTCTTAGGTGAGTTCATGGCCTCTTAGGTGAATTCATGGCCTCCTAAGTGAGTTCATGGCCTCTTAGGTAAGTTCATGGCCTTCTTGGTGAGTTCATGGCCTCTTAGGTGAGTTCACGGCCTCTTAGGTGAGTTCACGGCCTCTTATGTGAGTTTATGGCCTCTTAGGTGAGTTCATGGCCTCTTAGGTGAGTTCATGGCCTCTTATGTGAGTTCATGGCCTCTTAGGTGAGTTCACGGCCTCTTAGGTGAATTCATGGCTTCTTAGGTGAGTTCTAAGCCTCCTGAGTAAGATTGCAGCAGTACCTTAGGTAGGTTTGGGCGAGTTGGAGCCGTCTTAGGCGAGTTCAAATTTTCACAGGAGAATTTAAAATTTCTTGTGTAAGTTCGACGCCTTTTAGATGAGTTCGAAGCCTCTTGGGAGAATCCGAGGTCTCCAGGGTAAGTTTTCCTACAATCACTCCCCACCATCACTCCCCACCATCACTCCCCACCATCACTCCTACACCATCACTCCCCACCATCACTCCTCACCATCACTCCCCACCATTACTCCCCACCATCACTCCCCACCATCACTCCCCAAACAACACCTCCCCACCATCACTCCCCACCATCACTCCCCACCATCACTCCCGACCATCACTCCCCACCATCACTCCCCACCATCACCCCACCATCACTCCCACCATCACTCCCGACCATCACTCCCACCACCTCCCCCCCCCATCACTTTTTCCGAAACCGTCTTCCCCCTCCCACCTCACTCCCCCAACACCCATCACCCCGACCATCACTCCCCACCATCACTCCCACCCACTCCCCCATAACTCCTCCCCTCACTCCCCACCATCACTCCCACCATCACTCCCCACCATCACTTCCTCACCAATACTCCCCACCATCACTCCCCACCATCACCCCTCACCAACATCCCGACATCACTCCCACCATCACCCCCACCATCACTCCCACCATCACTTTCCCACCATCATTTCCCCACCATCACTCCTCACCATCATCCCCACCATCACTCCTCACCATCACTCCCACCATCACCTCCCCACCATCACCCCCAATAAACTCCCCAACATCACTCCCCACCAACATCCCCAAAAACACACCCACCATCACTCCCCACCATCACTCCCACCATAAACTCCCACCATCAACCCACCATCACTCCTCACCATCACTCCCCACCAATCACACCCCACCATCACTCCTCACCATCACCCCACCAATCACTCCCCACCATCACTCCCACCATCACTCCCCACCATCACTCCCCACCAATCACTCCCCACCATCGCTCCCCACCATCACTCCCCACCATCACTCCCCACCATCACTCCCCACCATCACTCCCACCATCACTCCCCACCATCACTCCTTGCCATCACTCCCCACCATCACTCCCCACCATCACTCCCCACCATCACTCCCCACCATCACTCCTCGCCATCACTCCCTACCATCACCTCCCCACCATCACTCCCACCATCACTCCCCACCATCACTCCCCACCATCACCCTCACCATCACCCCCACCATCACTCCCACCATATCACTCCCCACCATCACCCTCACCATCACTCCCCACCATCACTCCCCACCATCACTCCCCACCATCACCCCCCACCATCACTCCCCACCATCACTCCCCACCATCACTCCCCACCATCACTCCCCACCATCACCCGCCACCATCACTCCACCACCATCACTCCCCACCATCACTCCCCACCATCACTCCTTACCATCACCCCCACACATCTCCCCACCATCACTCCCCACCATCACTCCCCACCATCACTCCCCACCATCACTCCCCACCATCGACTCTTCACCATCACCCCCCACCATCACTCCCCCCCAAATCACTCCCCACCATCACTCCCCACCATCACTCCCCACCAATTACATCCCCACCAACACCCCCACCATCACTCCTCACCATCACCCCCACCATACACTCCCCACCATCACTCCCCACCATCACCCCACCATCACTCCCCACCATCACTCCCACCAACACTCCCCACCATCACTCCCCACCACACACTCCCACCATCACTCCCAACCATCACCCCCACCATCACTCCCCACCATCACTCCCCACCACACTCCCCACCATCACTCCCCACCATCACTCCCCACCATCACTCCCCACCAACAATCACTCCCCACCATCACTCCCCCACCATCACTCCCCACCAATCACTCCAACCATCACTCCCCACCATCACTCCCCACCAACACTCCCCACAATCACTCCCCACCATCACTCCCCACCATCACTCCCCACCATCACGACCCCACCATCACTCCTCACCATCACGTCCACACCATCACTCCCCACAATCACTCCCCACAATCACTCCCCACCATTACTTCCCACCAACACTCCCCACCATCACACCCCACCAACACTCCCCACCATCACTCCCCACCATCACCTCCCCACCATACTCCCCACCATCAACTCCCCACCATCACTCCCCATCACTCCCCACCATCACTCCCCACCACCACTCCCAACCATCACTCCCCACCATCACTCCCCACCATCACTACCCCACCACACTCCCATCATCACTCCCCACCATCACTCCCCACCACACTCCTCACCATCACTCCCCACCATCACTCCCCACCATCAACTCCCCACCATCACTCCCCACCATCACTCCCACCATCACTCCCCACCATCACTCCCCACCAATCACTCCCCACCATCACTCCCCCACTATACACTCCCCACCATCACTCCCACCATCACTCCTCACCATCACTCCCCACCATCACTCCCCACCATCACTCCCCACCATCACTCACCCACCACACTCCCCACCATCACTCCCCACCATCACTCCCCACCATCACTCCCCACCATCACTCCCCCACCCCAAACACTCCCCACCATCACTCCCCACCATCACTCCTCACCAACACTTCCCACCATCACTCCCCACCATCACTCCTAAACCATCACTCCCCACCATCACACTCCCACAATCACTCCCCACCATCACTCCCCTCCATCACTCCCCACCATCACTCCCCACCATCACTACCCCACCAATCACTCCCCACCATCGCTCCCCACCATCACTCCTCACCACACTTCCCACCATCACTCCCCACCATCACTCCCCACCATCACTCCCCACCATCGACTCCCCCACCATCACTCCCCACCATCACCCCCACCATCACTCCCCACCATCACTCCACCATCACTCCCCACCATCACTCCCCACCATCACTCCCCACCATCACTCCCCACCATCACTCCCCACCATCACTCCTCACCATCACTCCTCACCATCACTCCCCACCATCACTCCCCACCATCACTCCCCACCATCACTCCTCACCATCGCTCCCCACCATCCTCCCCACCATCACTCCCCACCATCACTTCCCACCATCACTCCCCCCATCACTCCCCACCATCACTCCCCACCATCACTCCCACCATCATTCCCACCATCACTCCCCACCATCACTCCCCACCATCACTCCCCACCATCACTCCCCACCATCACTCCTCACCATCACTCCCCACCATCACTCCCCACCATCACTCCCCACCATCACTCCCCACCATCACTCCCCACCATCACTCCCCACCATCACTCCCCCACCATCACTCCCCACCATCACTCCCCACCATCATCCTCACCATCACTCCCCACCATCACTCCCCACCATCACTTCCACCATCACTCCCCACCATCACCCCCACATCACTCCTCACCATCACTCCCCACCATCACTCCCCACCATCACTCCCCACCATCACTCCTCACCATCACTCCCCACCATCACTCCCCACCATCACTCCCCACCATCACTCCCCACCATCACTCCCCACCATCACTCCCCACCATCACTTCTCACCATCACTTCCCACCATCACTGACCCCACCAATCACTCCCCACCATCAACTCCCCACCATAACTCCCCACCATCACTCCCCACCATCACTTCCCACCATCACTCCCCACCACTCCCCACCATCACTCCCACCATCACTCCCCCATATCACTCCCCACCATCACTCCCCACCATCACTCCCCACCATCACTCCCCACCCATCACTCCCCACCATCGCTCCCCACCATCGCTCCCCACCATCACTCCCCACCATCACTTCCCACCATCACTCCCCACCATCACTCCCCACCATCACTTCCCACCATCACTCCCCACCATCACTCCCCACCATCACTCCCCACCATCACTCCCCACCATCACTTCCCACCATCACTCCCCACCATCACTTCCCACCATCCCTCCCCACCATCACTCCCCATCATCACTCCCACCATCACTCCCCACCATCACTCCCCACCATCACTCCTCACCATCACTCCCCACCATCACTCCCGACCATCACTCCCCACCATCACTCCCCACCATCACTCCCCACCATCACTCCCCACCATCACTCCCCACCATCACTCCCCGCCACTCTCGACGCTGTGTGAGCGCATGCCGCTGTGAGGATGTTTGTCTTAAAGGTGCTGTGTGATGCAGCCTTGTACAGCAAGTAAGGACATTGCTTGTTCTATGCTTTCATGCTAGGTAAGTTTTCTTGAATGTCTGTAGCATTGTCTTCTAAGTCTGTAAGATGAGCTGGAAGCCTCTAGGGTGAGTTGGAAGCCTCTAGGGTGAGTTGGAAGCCTATTGGTTGAGTTGGAAGCCTCTTGGATGAGTTCGAAGCCTCTTGCATGAGTTCGAAGCCTCTTGCATGAGCTCGAAGTTTCTTGCATGAGCTCGAAGCTTCTTGCATGAGCTCGAAGCTTCTTGCATGAGCTCGAAGCTTCTTGCATGAGTTCGAATCCTCTTGCATGAGCTCGAAGCTTCTAGCATGAGCTCGAAGCTTCTTGCATGAGCTCGAAGCTTCTTGCATGAGCTC